GAATATATAAATGATTATTTCTAAAGAAAAAAACCTGTGAGATTAGTTTCTAAATAACAAAAACGCGGGTATTTCTTTTATAATCCTTTTTAAGCTTTATGAGGCAGATCTAGCTGTATTTAAGAATCATTGGTGGGTTGAACCAAATCAATTGTGCTAGGTAGGGCTTTATTCAGATGATTAGAGGTGGCACAGAAGTCATAGTGGCATAATTGTAACTAATGCTTAATGAGTACTCACTAAGTGCCAGGCACACTTCTGTACTTATCTTGCCCTCATTTGATAGATAAGGAAACCAAGACACAGAGAAGTAATAACTGAAGAGGCAACTGGCAGAGTGGAGAGTGTGAGAGCATCTTACAGCTTCTTGTAATTGTGCAGTGTTAATCTCTCCTTTCTAGAGAGTTTTACTCTGTTATCTTAATCACCTTCCTGTAGGGAATCAGCAGCAGTTCTCAGCTATAGGGCAGGTGCCGGAATTTAACACTTAGGTGTACAACCAGCAGTTCTTCAGGAAAGACTCTGTGTTTCAATGAGACTTTCTACATAGAAAGTCAAGGTAGCAGTTTCTCTATGTTTAAAGAATCCAGGCAAGGCATGGTGATACACACTTGTAATATCAAGTATGCACCTCATCCTCAGAAGTTGAGGATGTGAGGACTGTGGTCTAAGGTCTTTTCATTTAAAGACTCTACATGAAAAATAACTAAAAGTCAAAAAGATTGACACAAAATGGCTCAAGTGGTAGAATACTTGCTTATTAAGTATGAGGTCTTGAGTTCAAACCTCAGGGCTGGGCAAAGCCATCTCTCCATTTACAGATAGAGATAGTTGTTCTCCATTGGACTTCTTGCCACTTCTTTCATGTTCATAGAAGCAATGGTAACACAAATCCTTTAAATTTTTAGTCTTGTTTGGTGTTATTGTTGTTTGTTTGTTTGTGACAACACTGTACTTTTCTTGAAGGAGAGAAGTTGTAAGGACTATTCAATCCAAAATGCATTACCTGAACTTTCCTTCTACTCTGATGGAAAAAATCTTTGAGGATCAAGTCAAGCTAATCCTTCATTCAAGGAACAGATGAAATCCTTAAAAGTGCTATACTAGCTTTTAAAACAATATATTTCAGCAGCAAAACAATATATTTCAGCAGCATTTCTTTATGAGGCCTTAACTTTAAGAGTATATTTGGCACACAGTAGAGCATTCTGAAAAGAATTTTGATCAGATGAGTCCCATTTGCTTAACATAACTGTTAGTTATATTATTCATTTCATGACATAAATGGCAGGTTTGTGTTTGTGAGGAAAGTTTAAGTTCATTTAAACTTAGAGAGCTCTGGAAGGAGGCATCATAGGTTAAAATATAAAACACTGCTTTTAAAATTTGGGAGGAAAGCTATTCCTTAACAATTTCAGCTAACCTAAACTGGCCTGGAAATTAGCTAACACTTTTGTCAGAATACTTCTATAAATACTCAACTGGGACAAGCAATGCTCAGATCTGGACAAAGTCCATCCTATAACAAATAGCATATGATTCTCATAGATCACTCTCACAAACAATTGCCTACGTCAGCCACGGCCAGCATCACATCAGCTGCACGTGAAAATGTGGTATCATTGTATTTTGGGGGTGACTTCAATGAGATCAAGTAACTGAGGTTTTGAGTTTGATAAATTACTCACTTCATTTTATTTCTTCAAGCAAACCCCTGCTTTTAGAAGTAGCCTGGAAAAAAATATGATCTGTGTAAAGGTTGAAGCTAGAAATAGAAAGTAAACCTTTGCATTCTAAAAGCTGTACAATTTTCTACACATTGTTAATTGATATGAGTAGGAGTGAGGAAGTAGAACTGAATGGACAGCCTAATGTACTCCACATTGTCTCTGTATGAAAGAGGGTGCTTTATTCCAAATATTTTCTTGGAATTTAGTACTGAGACCCATCTATTGACTGGACACATCAAACATGTGTGGGCCTTAGTCAAGGTTTTTATCTAGTGCTCTTCCTCTAGAAGAGCAAGTTCTCTCCACCCACAACATCTCTAAGTCCTCACACAAGATTTTCTGACGTGGGATTCTCCTCTCTAACATTAGTGCCTGTTTACTCCCCAGGAAGTAGGATTTTTTTTCAGGCCTGAAAAATCCTTTAGTCCAAATTTACATTCCAGGACTCCACCTCTCTCTGTGCTTTTCACTTTACTGTGTAGTGCATCCAATAGGACTAGGAGTAGAGAATTCTATTTAGTCTAAGAGAATTAATTGCCAGTTCAATTAATACTGCAAAAGTCATGACTTCTAATGCTTGGTTTGCTTAGAATGAATACGGGTTATATTTGTTCCTTCTCAAATATGACTTCTTGCTTAGCTTTAGGTGAGCTGAGCTACTTTGAGATAACATGCTTTATATCTCAGATGATTTATGCACTTTCAAGTTCCCTGGAATTTATTGCAAAAGGTTGACATGAATGCTTACAGTTTGGGCTCTAATATAATCTCCTGAATGGCAATTAATAATAAAAGATGGCTACAGTTGGTAACAGAGGATCTAGGCTTTCTCGATGTTTTTTCTTTGTATTTTCACCAACCTTCATCTCTAGAGGGTGATAGTATAAAATATTTTCTCTAAACTCCAAATGTTTTACTATTGTTCAGTACCAACCCAAACCTCTATGTTTGTTTCTTTCTTTCTTTTCAGAAATGATATTATTCAATTTTTGTTTCTGTAATTTACCTTCCTTCCTGTAGAAGAAGCATGCCTCCTGTTCAACTGAATAGTAACATACTCTCAGTATTTATGCTTGCAAATAGTACCTGAAATTTTCCTCAGATTTTTTACTTAGTCTGTTCTCTGTTCATTTATTGAATGCATACTGTCACCTATAAAACACAGTGTTCACTTTTATCAAATGTATTGTTCAAAGTGCAAAGCTGCCTATCATATGTTAATAATGAAACCTTAAAGCAATGTCTAGTTTTTGTGGCTTCCATGTTAGACTGGGCTTTTGACCAATCTAAACTAATGTTCTTATTTTAGTAGTGAGGAATATGTATGCCAGTATATGGAGTAGGACCATACTCAAGTAGAAAGATGAGTCTGAATGCATACATCTCTAGTTAGTCAAATGTATGGTACAGAACAGGAAAGCTGGAGTTACACTTCCTCTGGCCAGTTCCCCATTGGGATGCTTAGTAAGTGTGCTGTTTGAACACATTATCACATTTTTCCCATCTGTAAATGCCAGTGGCCCAACTGTAAGGATTATAGTAAGTTAATATCAATAATACACTCAGAGTAGTGCTTGGCACAGAATAAATACTCCATGCACTGCCAACTATTAGCATTATAGTCACTAATTTGACCATTTTTACCTATCTCTGAAAATGATGAAAGAGTGTGTATTACTGTTTATACTTAGGTATTTATGCATATTTTTTGTATCTCTCCTGCTACCTAATATTGTGTTAGGAAATGGGTACTGGTTACATGGTGGTAATAGCAGAAGTAGAAATAACGATGATAATAATGAAAGATAAAGCAGTTTATTGAGCATTAGAATGTGCTGTCCGTTAAAGTGGACACTTTATATTCATACTTTAATATGTGCTCTCTTCTGTATACACACACATACAAACAAACTACACATCGGCTTACTTTTAAAAACAGAGTTATCCCTCCTTGATGACGGTAGTCTGTTTTTAGAACTGGAGAGTACATGAATCTTGAGCCCTGTAGAATAGCTTCAAATGTAGAAACAAGATCCTTGACAAGGTTCTTTTTAAAAGAAATCAGTAAGCCCTTTGCTGATAATGTTTCTATAACCAAAACTTGTTGCTGATGATTAGGAGAGTGTCCAGGGTGTGAGTGGAGGCAAGGAATGGGACTGCACAGGTATAGACCAAGACAAGCCAGGCAAATGGGGTATGTTGTATGTTGTCAAAAGCAGACTATTAAAACCCATGTTTTATGTCTTGTAATTTAACATAATTATTTTTAAATGTCTCATTTCTACATCCCATGTAGAAAATACATTTGGAATAATAGCATGGACATAGAAAAGTTGTTTTCTTTCCCATTTTGCATTATTTTCTTATAGAATAAGTAAATTGTACTCTCTATACATTAGAGTAAAGTAAAGCATTCCATCACAAAAAGTAAAACTGCTAATTTTCCTTGATAAACATAAACAACCATGGTGATGGTAACAGGTTTAATGTATAGAAGTGCCTAGGATAGGAGATGAAAGAGAATCATTCTGTATTAAATGTTCTATGTGTTTGTGTGTCTGTCAGTGTGTGTGTGCATGTCCCTGTGTGTGCATGTGTGCTGTCATGCATATAATCTCTGTAGACAGTGACAACTTTTCAAATTCACATATGCATGTGCCCGTATTGCATAGAATCACATTCATAGAAATTTCTATGTCCTTTATATTTAAATATTCTTATCTTAAACCTTACCACAACTTTAGAAAAAGCAACTAAGATTCAGAGAGATTATGATTTCTCAAAGAACTCAAGGTCACAAAAAATGGCGACATCCATTCATTACATCTCAAAGTCTTTGTACAAGCTTTCTTGGTTTAGAAAGAACAATAAACTTAATAGGAGTTTAACCTTAATTTCTAGTGAGTTAGCAACCACTTTTTTTTTTGCCAGTCCTGTTCTTGAACTGAGGACCTGGGCACTGTCCCTAAGCTTTTTCAGCTCCGGTCTAGTACTCTACCATTTGAGCCACAACTCTACTTCTGGCTTTTTTTTTTTTTTTTAGATTAATTGGAGGTAAGAGTCTCACAGATTTCCCTGCCTGGGCTGGATTGTATCATGATCCTCACTTCTTAGCCTCTTGAGTACCTAGAATTACAGGTGTGAGCCACCAATGCTCATTTAGAAACCACTTTTTAAAGATGCCCAAAGAATAGTAATCTTGGAACAAATATCTCCATTCGACCACACTGCCCCATTATATGAAGAGTACTTTTCCCTTTTGTTTTCTAGAATCTCCGAGCAAAGATTTTGGTCCAACTCTGGGATTGAAAAAGTCCAGCTCCTTGGAGAGTCTGCAGACGGCTGTGGCTGAAGTCAGGAAGAACGACCTGCCCTTCCACAGGCCCCGGCCTCATATGGTTCGAGGCCGAGGTTGCAATGAGAGCTTCAGAGCAGCCATTGACAAATCATATGATGGACCTGAGGAGTTAGAAGCAGGTAGGGTGATAGGCTGCCTTAAGTGGTTCCTTCATCTCATTATCATCTGCAAATCACAGGCAAGAATGTGGGCTTAACTACAGAGAAAAGTGATTTAAGGATCACAATTATAGTTTTGATATTAGAAGTAATTCTTTTTCCTGATATGTTTTGCCCTTTGGCTTAATGAACATGGAATTGGAGAATGCAATGTGCAATTTATTTTACAGTGCAAACACTTAAGATATGTTCTCCTTCGCTTTCCTACAAGGACCAACTGTCATTTACCCTGAGGGTGAGAGCACTAAGTATGCATTTCTTGACATTCTTATTTGAGTCATTAAAAGCAGCATTAACCAGCAGCATTAACTGACTGCATTGAGTAGAAGCAGTTGGGCTGTATTTGTACTTAAAAACTTCTCCGAAGAAACTTGCCCTGTCTGTTTCCTACCATGTGGGCTTTCTGAGCTGATCAAGGCTAGCAAGCCAGCTTTCAGAGGTCTGTGTGTTGAACACATTGTAAGCCTTTTCTAACTACCAGCTAAGCAGCCCATAGGCCCGTCTCCCAGCCTCCAACCTATATTGAAGTAACTAGTTGTAGGCTCTCATTTCTTCAAAGGGTACAAGTGGCCTTGTATAAGGGTACAACTCTAGAATGCTTCTATTTGGTCTTCTGTATTTGACATTTTGACTCTTCTTTCTGTGCTCTGGGTGAGTAGCCCTGACCATGAGTATTGATTTCATTCTATGCAGACGGTCTCTCAGATAAGAGCTCTCAGTCTGGCCAAGGTGCTCTGAATTGTGAGCCCGCCCTTCAGCGGAGCTCTGAGCTAGAGGACGTGGAAAATAAAACCAGGAAAGTCAAAAAAACAAAAGAGAAAGAGAAGAAAAAGGAAAAGGGCAAGATGAAAGTCAAGGAAAAAAAGCAGAAGGAGGAAAATGAAGACTCGGAGAGGAAAATGAAGAGGAAGGGGTTGGGTGCCATGCTGAGGTAAGGGCCTGCTTTCAAGGCCACCTTGGTTTTGTTTATCCTTTTGTTTCTCCTGGTGAAATTACCCTCTGTATCTATTCAGAGAAGAGCACACGCTTTCCCTTGTCTTTGTCTAAATGCATAAAAATCTACGTTGGAAAGGTGCACGTTCTTTTTCTAAGCAAGCCTTTGAGGGCAGTTCCTGACACTTGTGCTGACAAGAGGGAAACAGTCTAAAATCTGTAAGAAAGGGCAGTGCTTCATAGGGCTGTGCAATGCCAATGGCCTTTGTACCAAATTGCCCCCCGGTATGTCCATCTGCACAGTGAAGAGAGGCCAGGGACTCCTCACTCACTACCTGTAGAACACCTCTGTTGAGTTAACTCAGAGTCAGGGAACCCCATCCCTCTCCACACCTGTTTCTGAGTGTGCAAATGGCCCAACCCTCTGGGCACAGTAGTTTTCCCTTACAGAGACACTGTGATGATACAATGATGTCACTGGGCTCAGGTCCGAATGGCTCTAGTCTGAATCTCCACTAGAGCCATAGGATATCATATACATGGCTTAAATCTCCTGAGCTTTTCTTTTTCCTCTCCCAAAATATACTCACTCCACTGATCCAGTGAGTCTGTGATTGGATTTCATTGCTAGGCAGGGCTCATCAGGGAACAGTAAGGAAAAAAAAAAAAAAGCTCTGCTACTTCAAGCCACACTAATGAGACTGTCTTCTCAATATCTTGATATCTCAGTGTCTGGATGATAGACCTTCTAGTTACATATGGGCAATAAAATGTCTTTGCCATTGGCAAAAAACCAACGGATCCTATAAGAATAAAACTTTTCCTAGGAGTGGAGATGTATCTCAGTGATACACCATTTATCTAACATGTGTGAGGCCCTGGGTTTGACCCCTAATACTACAAAAAACAAACTTGCCCCTTGGAACTCAACACTGATGTTGGAGGCAACATTCTACCAGGTCTACTTCTCTCTTTCTGGAACTAGAGAAAAGAGGACAACATTCAACAAGACAGTGTTTTACCTAACTCATATGTCTGCTACACTCCATCTATCAGGGACCATTTCTATGAGTTTTTATTAAGTTCTGCCAGTTGCTGATATAGGAACTGTAGTAACGTTTTACCCTTAGCCTGTGGTCTCAGATACCCTATGCCTACAGTCTAATTACCCATCTGGCAGACTTCTTGGCCATTGAGATAGCCCTAACCTAAATTTTGGAGCAGCATCTACTTGATCTGGTAACATCAGATGATCTCTCACCACTCCAAACCATCCAAAGCGGCAGCTCTCCTTTCTCCTTTCCCGGCGACAGAGATATTTAACCAGCCTCACCCACTCAGAACTCCAGTTTGGGATCTTCCCACCTAAGGGCCTATGTCAAACTCTTTCAAGAGTTAGCAGTATCTTTCATGACTTACCTCAAACTTCTTCAAGATTTTCCTTTCTTGTTTTTTGGGTTTTTTTTTTTTTTGTAGCTCTCTCCCTTGTTTTGTTAAGAATGAAAGGTGGAAGTATCTCTTTCCATTATTTTCTATATTCCTGTCCTCTCCTATCAAATCAATTCATCCCTCCATGTCCCTTCCATGGTCTAAAGGTAAATGACAGAATATTGGAGTTGGTAGGCCAGGTTGGCCACATTTTAGAAGGTATTTGTCTTAAAAATACTGAATGGTATTAATTGTTCTCAGCTTGAGATCTTCTGAGATTTTGAAACACAGAGAAAATCCTCTCTTCCTCCTCCTCCTCCTGTTCCTCTTCCACTTCCTCTTCCTCCTCCTCCTTTTCCTTCTGTTCTTCCTTTTCTTCCTCTCCTTCCTCTTTTCTTTCTCTCCCCCTTTCTCCCTCCATTTCTCCCTCCCTGTCATCCTCTCTCCTTCCTTCTTTCTTACCCCCTTTCTCTTTCTCTCTTTCCCTCCTTATTCTTCCTTCCTTTCCTTCTCCCTTTCTCTCCTCTTAAAGGACCTCATAAATTATAAATTGACCTCTAGGAGACATAAATAATATTGAAAGCTCTGGACTGTCCTTTACATTTTCAATGCTGGTAGAATCCTATTCCCATGTCCTCTTGTTCAAAAATCTTAGGAGTAACTTTGCGTTAAATGTGTTGTAAGAAGACATGCTGTGGTTACCCTAGCTCACCAACTATCCTAGTAGTCATCTGATGATCAAAGAACAAAATTTCCACAAGTTGAATTTTGAATATCAAATTAGCTTTATTTTGATGGTATTCCACCTGCGGAATAGAAAGGCACTTGGATAAACTGAGCAGAAGGTGTGGGACTTACACGAAGGAAAAGGCTAAAGAAAGCAAAAGGAAGATTGATTGGTCATTTCAAAATTAGTTTCCTAGGAGGCTACAATGCTTGATAAGAAATGTACTCATTATCTTGCCCATGTAATTGTAACCCCTCTGTACAGTATTTTCACAATAAAAAAGATAAAATAATTAGTTTCCTAATAGTGTTAAGTTAAGGAGATTCCCTTGTACTGTTAGCTAAAGGAAACTGGATCTATTACTTGGCTGCAGGAAATCTTCTGTTTATTAGAAAATTAGCCCAAAAATTGAGTTCATGTGATACCTAGTATAAATGATTTCATTGTGGCTTGATTTGGTCTGTTGTGGCCAAATGCAAGTGCTAAGTCCAAAATAATGTCCTCCTCTGATCTAACATGACTATAGCTTAGTATCTGCCAGTAAGAAAAAAATTTTTTTAACTTTTTCCTGATAGTCTCTCTAAGCGACTACCTTTCTTTAACATCTAAAGTTATCCTTATTCTGAATGATTATTATGATTGTCAGAAGTTATGGTCTAATGACCTAAGCATCTTGCTAATAATTTTAACAATATTTAGAAGAGAATTTTGTCTTTAAAATGATCGTGCTACTTGGGGACTGGAGGTATGGCTCAAGTGGTAGAATGCAAACCAAGCAAGCAACTCCAAGCAAGTGTTTAACACTGTAAGTTTAAAACCCAGTACTAGCAGACAGACAGACCGACAGAGACAGACAGACAGATGATAGATAGATGCATGTATAATAGATAGATAGATAGATGGACAGACAGACAGACAGATAGGGTTCCAAAGATAGGCTTTGCATATGAACTTTTCAATTTAATCATGGCTTCCCTGCTTTGTATGTAGGTAACACTGAGCAGGTGATTTAACCCCCATACCTCAGTTTCTTCACCTGAAAAATGAAAATGAGAGTAGAACCTATCATTATTGTCAGAATCATGTCTAAGTTATATGTAATAGGCTTAGAGCTATGCTTGGAAAGCAACCTCCCTTGAATAGCAAACAATATAATGCTCTCCTACAGATGTTGATGTCCACATCATAATCTGTGTATATGTGTTACATGGGAAAGGCTGATTAAGTCTGCAGATGGAATTGCAATTGCTGATCAGCTAACTTAAACGCACGATTATTCTAAATTCCCTCAGTAGGCCCAATGTGGACCATAAAGGGGAGGAAGAAGATAGGACTAAAGAAGAAAGGTGTCATGAAATGCAAATCTGTTGGCTTTGCAGGTGAAGATAGCAAGAGGCAAGGATGGCAGGCAGCCTCTAGAAGAAGGAGAAAGGAAGGAATTGACTCTCAGTGGCCTCCTCTCTAAATGTAGGGATTTGGGATGTTCAGGACATAAGTTTATCATACTTTTTTATAGCATCAATAGAGAACCAATGCAGATATTATCATAATTGTTACTACTTTTACAATATCATGGTAATCATTATAGAAAATGTTGTTGAGGTCATAAAGGGAAAAACCTATGAAAATTATTTAAAATATGAAAACTGTTGGAAATTCATATGTTCCATTTCTTCCATTATCACTAAGAGGAACCTTCAGTCTTGCATTTTACCTTCTTGAATTTTACATGATTTGATATACTTCATTGCCTGTAATAAAGGGGCCAGCTCTTTCCTTTTGTTGTATAATGTTCTGTTTTTCCATACAATAGAAATCACAGCTCCTAGATGCTTTAGCTACCTAGCACCTTGGGTTTTCTTTCCTCCCTCTGCTTTTAGCAAAATTAAGATCTGAAAGGTGGTGTTTGATTTTATCTTTGGTACAAAAATAGCAACTGTTTTCCATAGCCTTTTGAATCAGAGTTTGTGGAGCATATTGGAGTTGCTGCGACATGCAGGTTTGCAACAACAAAGAACACAAAAGCTGTTGCTGTTAGCCAACAGATTCTGCTTTCCTTCTCATCTGTTGCTCAGATGCTGTTGACTTGGTTTCTTTCTTATTAAAAAAAAGGTTGATTACTCTAAGGGCCTCTTTGAGTAAGATGTAGCTTTAAATATGCATTTTTCTTACACTCTGCATTTCTCTGACACTCTCCTGAAGATGAGATTTTGGCATGGGTTCCACAATTATACCATGCTTGGTGGCACCTGATCGAAGGGGTGAGAACTTATGCTCTTCCCCTCTCTTCTCACCAAACCATGGATTACAAAAGTGTGAGATTGGTAGCAGCCACCTTTTGCTGCCTTCTAAAGAACACTGTCATCTTTTCTTGTATTAACTGTTTCATCTTTATCCAATGTACATAGAAGTACAGTTAAGCTTGTTGATTACTCCAACCTTTGCTTGATCCCACTGAAAAAAGATTTGGGGAGAGGTCCTCTTTTGTTTTTTTTTTCTGCATGTTGTCCAATTCCAATGTTGTTATAACTAGCTGATTTCAAATTATCTCCTTGTGTAATTCAAGTGTGGGTAGGTCATAAATTGTTCTGGGAAAATGTGCATCTGAAAAACCTTGTTTCCTTTGTATGCCTTTGTATACCTGTAACTGAAAGAGAAGTTTTGTGGCTATGCTACCAATCAGCTTCAGGTCTGTCTGTTCAATTTTGGATATAAATCATGAAATGGCAACTGGCAACATACAGCTCTTTTCATGTTACTGGCTCATTTTAATATTAACAACTCTGAAGGTTGCCGCCTCATATGAAGTTCTTTTTTTTTGAGATGGAAATCACTAAAAGGCA